GGGATCTAGTCTCACACTCATTCTTAAACTCTGCAGCATTTGGAACCAAGGAGCATTTCCTCCATTCAAAACACTTCCCCCACTGTGCTTTCTGAGATACCGAGCGGCCTGGTTTTCCATCTGTGCCTGTGATGACTTTTGTAATAACTCTTCTTCATCTCACCCCTGTGAAGGTGGTTCCCGGGGCCCCTCATTCTCTTCTCTCTCTCTTTTTTCTTTATTTTTTTTCCCCCTTTATTGATTTTAGAGAGAGAGGAAGTAGAAGGAGAGAGAGATAGAAACATCGATGAGACAAAACATCGATTGGCCACCTCCTGCATGTCCCACAACCTGGGCATGTGTCCTGACCGGGAATCGAACCGGCGACCTCTTGGTGTGTGGGTCAATGCTCAACCACTGAGCCACACCAGCCCGACTCTTCTCGGAGCTTTACTCTTCACCGTAACTACTGTCTATAATAAGATGAGTCATAAATCTGATTACTAACTCAGCCCCATCCCTACCCTTCCCATAAGATCTTTCTTGCATTCCTGCAGCGTTACTGGTTGTATAAACGACTGGCTAACAGTTGACCTGCATCCAAACACCCTGTCTAGGTGGTCGGAAGAACGGTGGCACCATTAGTATAAGCAGGAGGAAGAGATGGTTTGGGAGAGAGTGTGGGTTTGCCTTGCGTGTCATGAGTTTCCTGTTCTTGTTTCAGCCTCAGAAATATGGCCAAGCCTCGTGGGCAGTGTACCAAGGAAGTGTAATTTGTGAGCAAAGAAATATGGCTTAGGTGACTGAAGTGGAATGAAGCTTTAAGGGTCTACCTGAATATAAGGGATTATCTCTTGTAAGATTGCTGAGAAAGATCTAGACACCCCCTGATTGCAACCTTAAATTTGGCGTTTTCACAATTTCTAGGTCTCTGAATTCTTGCTTGAACAAGGGAAGTAATAATCTAGTCATGAAGGATGCTAAGTTGTTAAAAACAAACAACAAAACCCAGAGCAGTGTTGTTTGTTTCTCTGCTGTGTTGCTTTGTTTCAGTTTAGAGTCCAGCTGTTCCAGGGAGCTGAGGTCAAGGGCCTGAGGCTGGTGTGGCAGTCTCCCCCAGGTGAGTGGGCTCACCAGGAGGGCAGGGAAGAATGAGCACAGTGTGTGGATGCTGGAGGGGAGCTTTGCTGGCTCCCCAGCACTGCCCAGCACGGTGCCTCCGGATGGTAGTTCTGCTAGGCCTGCAGACTTCACTCTGCACTTTATAGATGGAAAACAGACACTCAGGGAGCTCAAAACCAGATTTTTGTGGTCACACTGCTAGAACCGAGGATCCAGGACTCCATCCATCGCACCAGCTGCTGCCTCCTGGGGCGTCTCCTCCCTGACCACCACCACCACGAGGTGCATTGCAAACTGTGAACAGTCCAGGGGCGTAACCTCTGGGGCCAGGCACTGTCAGCATGGTTGGGTCTGGGAGGGGAGGGAGAGGTGATCAGTCTCAGGCTGCTCCTGGGCCAGCACCCACCCCTGTCCCAGCAGCCCCTGCATGAGGCAGAGTGGGGGGTTGCCCACGTATCCACAGGCACAGGGAAATCAGCCGCGGACGGCTAATCGCCTAACCAAACATTGTTGGTAATCTGCATCCCTAAAATAAACCCTTGAAAGATGGAAAGATGTTAGTAATTTCTGGCCATATGTGCCTCCTCCTTCCCTACTTTCCCCACCTCAAAAAAGAAAGTGGGCCAAATGGCAAGGAGTAAAGAGCCTAATGCGGAACACATTTCCATCCTTTGATTTCCCCCTCCCGCGTGTCCCCCCACTTATGTAAACTGAATTCCTTTACACGGTCATGGCAAAGGACCATTGATTTTTGATTTGAGTTGTGATTAAAAGCAATACAATCAGAAGAGTGAGATAATTTCCACTGAAGCAAGATCATTTGAAGCCCAGTCATGGTATAGTAGGAAAGAGCGAGGTCTTTGGGATTAGGTATGGGTTCTACTTCTGATCGTCTCTTTTACAAACAGTGGCCGTGTGTTTTCACTACTTACCTGAGCCCCTTCCTTGGCTGTAAGAAATAATCATCATGATTCTTCACATGGATGCCGTGAGCACTGACTCAGGAGCCGCACGACAGCACCCATTCTGTGCTGACTGACAGCCGGCACGGGGTGAGAACTTAAAATGGACGGCTCGCTTCTCTGCAGAAAGGAGGGTGCCCACATTGTCCGCAGGGCACGTATTGGCCTCTCCTGCTGATGGAATTGATTGCCCCTGTGGCAATGCGTTCTCAGCCTTAGACTTTGGGAAATAGTTAGAGACTCTCTAACCTGTGGGGCCACCTCTAAGAGGGTCTTGTGAAAGGAGAGTTGTTTTGACCGCCTTGCCTCCCTGCAGTATTCTTTGCTGCCTTTCTTGGTGGTTTCTCCTAGTCCCATTTGCTCTGTTTGGCCGAGGGGAGGCAGCGATGGACACTTGACTCTGCCTGGGCCTGAGCAGAGTCTCCTCTGGCTGGCTCCTCACTCAACCCCGCTGAGAATCTTTCTTAGTTAGTGAGCCACAGGCTAAAACAGTTGAAGTCTTTTCTCAAGGGAAAGCCAGGTACACGGGTGGTAAGCCAACAAGCAAAGCTTAGCCAGGTGTGGGCCTGTTTGGGTGTGTCTGGGGGTGAGGTCCTGGAAGGGTGATTTTTGCCGCTTTCTTTAAAAAAATTTTTTTTTTCTTTATTGATTTTTAGAGAGAGAGGAAGGGAGAGGGAGAAATAGAAACCTCGATGAGAGAGAACATTGATTGGCCTCCTCCTGCATGCCCCCCACTGGAGACCGGGCCCACAACCTGGGCATGTGCCCTGACCGGGAATCAAACTGGTGACCTCTTGGTGCATGGGACAACGCTCAACCACTGAGCCACACCAGCTGGGCTCTTAAGCTTTCTTTTCTGCACTACCCCCTGCTGGTCCCACTGCATTCTGTCCACAGTGGGGGTGGGAGTCAAGCATAGTCCGTGGCCCTGGGCAATGGCTGTTGGGGTTTGGGGGAGACTTAAAGAAAGGAACTCACGGGGGAGCTGCTCAGCTCACTCCCAAGGGTGCGGGGAAGCCTGGACCAGCTTGGGAGGTCCATGCCAATCCTCAGTGAGAGCATGCTGCTGCTTGGTGCCCAGTCCTGAGCCTGCTCCCTCCCTCGGAGAGGCGTTCTGAAGGGGCACCAGGTCTAGGGCAGTGCACGCTTAAGGAGGCGGCAGCATCTGGACCCCTTTTTGTAAGAAAAAGAGAGCAATGGGAACATGTTTCATTTACCGACTTTGACTCATTCACTAAAGATTTGTTCTTAGGACATTTTCCACCCGCCTCCTTATTCTTGGGTTAGGCCAAGGGTGTGCTTTCTAATCAACTTAATATTAACTTATAAAACCTTCATGAATGCAGTTTCTCCTTTGCCAGAATAGTCTCTTTCAACCGGGAGGAACTCTTTTACCATTTCATAAGTAGAGTCATTTTGAAATGTGGGTGAAACTGGGAAAAGAGTCTGAGAGTGCCCCCCTCCCCCCCGTTCTCTTGGTCCATTTAGTCATTACTCTAAGTTTTGGGTTCATTACAAAGAATTTTGCAACTGTAGAGTCATAGTGGGCAGTGCAGTGATTAAAAGTGCAGACATGGGTTTCAGTTAAGGATTAGTGATTTTGGGTAAGTAAACTTAACCCCTTCTGCCTCCGTTTTCTCATCTGTTAGTTGGGGAAATAGTGGCACCGTCCTCACGATGGTGCTAGGCGTAACGGAGGGACAGCGTGGAAAACAGCGCCCCCGCGTGCCCTATGCTTTCCTAGTCCTTAGCTATTGTTACTTAGTTCAGGCCCAAGCCTTTCCTCCTGGAGTGTGGGTGCAAGCTTCATGTTATGAAAAAGAGGGGCTGACCAATTCTGGATTCAGAGGATGTACAGATTATCTGGTGACTAGCATCTAGAATGTGACTTCCAGCTCCTTTGGCTGCCCCGGGAGGGGAGAGGACTGATAGGCGACGCTGTGTGTTAATGTGTTGGCGGTGTAGAGAGCACCTGCACTGACTTCCCTTCATCGAGACCCTGTGCCGCCAGCACCAAAGGATCCGGTCCACACGTCGGCATGAAAATGATGTTGACTAGAAGACAAAGAGACAAAGGCTGAGGTGGTGGGCGCCCTGGCTTCCTCTTTGTGCACGGGGGTGTGCTGAGAACAGAGATGCCATGTATCAGACTTGAGAGTTCATCACCTGGGTTTATGTAGCAGGACTTGCTCTAATCTATCAGGAAGTCAAAGTAGGGTTTGGTTCCCTGTGGGTCTATTCAGTAGATAGAACATTTGTGACACCTGCTAGAGTCTGATTAGTGGTTGACAAAACATTAGTGGTTCATACTTTCAAAACTCCTTAAAAGACACACTGTTGGGGGCCCAGATTTCTCCAATGCTGAAGTTGGGCATTGGTGTTTAATACACTTGAACAGGACAATTTGAATCATCTTGTAACTTTCCCTTGCTGGTTGGGCACACACAGATTCTGCATGTCTTGTTTAGAGAAATTTTATGACCCTTGGATCTTAAAAAACCTAAACCAATAACTTAAAAAAACCCAAAAAACTCAGGGTAAGTTTTTCTTTGCCTGCAGAGGTCCAAAGCATTAGATTGTATGGTTTGCATTGGAATGTAAGATCCCCTTCCTTTCTTGAAGCATTGTGTGATATTTTCTGAGTCACTGAGTTTTAAAAAAGAGAAATATGAATTGGTATTGAAAATGTGTTTGAGACTCGTGGTACCTTGTGGCAACTGTGAGATACCGGTAAATACCGCAAAACTAGGAGGCAGAATCAGTATATAAAGGCTAACCGAGCCCTTGGCACTTACAAAACTGTCTTCTTTGGCCTCCATATGCCTTCCATTTCAGCTTCCCTTCAGCCACAGGTTTGGGTTATTGTTTTACATGCAAAGCTGGCTCTAAAATGCTTTCTCTCCTCTCCCTTCCCCTCCTGACCCTCACCATCTCCAGCACTGAGGATGAAAATAAAAGAAGTGAAAAAAGAAAATGGTGACAAAAAGATCGTGCCCAAGAAGAAGAAGCCCCTGAAGTTGGGGCCCATCAAGAAGAAGGAACTGAAGAAACTTGTCCTGTACCTGAAGAATGGGGCCGACTGCCCCTGCCACCAGCTGGACAACCTCAGCCACCACTTCCTCATCATGGGCCGGAAGGTGAAGAACCAGTACTTGCTGACGGCCATCCACAAGTGGGACAAGAAAAACAAAGAGTTCAAAAACTTCATGAAGAAAATGAAAAACCACGAGTGTCCCACTTTCCAGTCGGTCTTTAAGTGAATGTCACGGGGTGGGTTGGGGTGAGGGGTGGGGGCTGAGCAGACTATCCTGGAACTCACTGCTTCTGGGGGTAGAGAACATTGTAATGCGGTTGGCTTTCCTCTTGCAGCATCCCTCCTCTCCCCTCCACAGCGCCCTCCAGACCCCGGCAGAGCCGATATTTAAAGCCGCACACCCAGGGAAGGAAACCCAGTTAGATTAGAAAGCCTCTGCAGTCTGGAATGTCACTGGGTGCCAGGAGGTGCACACCATTTCACCCAGAGACACACTCACTAAAGAAGAAGAGTTTCCCCGCACACAGTCACAGGGATTAGGCAAAATGTAAGAGACAGCAGCGCAAACGACGTCCTGCCACTTTCTCTGTGTCGTTCCACGTCGCGTGTGGGTTCATCAGCTAATCTGTTCCTTTGGGACGAGAAAGTTCTAACTGTGGGGAAGACCATTGCTTTCGGTGGCGGAGTGATTGTTCTGTCTGCGTTAGACAGAAGCAGACACCCACCACACTCACAGCGTGAGATGGGCCCCGGAGAGCAGTGGTCAGGGGAGAAAGGCACAGCACCGGGTCTAACAGTGCCTTCCCGCCGCACTGCCTTTCGCCATGAATCCGCCAGTCTCAGATACACGTGAGAGGCAGTTGACATCGGCCTCAGTCACATCTAACCTCCACACATGTGGAGGGCAGCCTGCCTCTGGGTGAGGAAAGGGAACCCCACAGCACCAGACCCATGGCATGAGGGGACAGATGGTTTTCAGACCCAGGAGACAATGGTTAGTGGTTTTCCAAAAACAGTTAAAGAAAAATAAAAATCAGAACAGTTTAGCACATTGCTAGTCTGGGTGAACTGTAATTGGGTGAAGAGCTTAGTATTTTAATGTCATCTGTCCATTTCACGTATTTTTAAAGAATAACCACTACAAAACTCACTCACTTTTCAAGGTTTTTTTTTTTTTTTTAAGTCTACATTGAGCATTTGAAAGGTGTGCTAAGACCAGGGTCTCTTGTTCATTCAAGGTACTTGCAGCAGAGTGGTGCTGTCACTAGGCGTTTTGGATGGGAGGTGGAGTTAGCTAGTGCCTAGCCATGGGGTCCTCCCTCCTAAGGAGTCCAGGTCTGCTGTGGTCCCAACACAACACTCATTAAAACTCACAGTGTGTCCTATTCCTTTCTTCCCTGTGAAGAAATGGATTCATTTAAACTTGATTGCTTACAGGTCAAATAAATTTCAGAACAGCCCCAGCCCGCCTGTCCTCCTACACTTACAAAAAAAAATTATTTTTGTTTCTGCAGAGCGAAAGTTAAGCCACAAGTATCTCCCCATCCGAGGAGTTTCAAAGGCATCCTGTCTCTGCAGTTGCTCCTGAATGCCCTAAGATATTTCTCAAAGCCCTTGTGTTTCATACGTGATGTACATAAACCCGTTTGCTTAAGCAACTTCATTCCTCTTCTTCAGCATGTAGGAAGTAAGTCCAACAATCAGTGTTCGTTTCTTCCCCAAGCCTGATTCTTAATTCTCTGACACCTCGAGGACGTTAGTGCTTGTCTCTCTGGGCGATGGTTGTACCCGACGCGGGTGCGGCTGAGATCTGACCTGTTACCTGTGCGGCCCAAGCCTGACACAGACACACTGGGAGATGCTGTTTAATTCCGAAGACTCCAGTCTGAAAACCAGCCTGCCAACTTCATTACCTACCTGAGGGTTATCCTGATGTAATTAATCTCTCACGATTAGGAATCCCATCATTTAAACACCAATTTTGGTTTTCTTTGACCTTTAATCATAAAGTATTGGGGATCTTAAGTGATTTGCCTGTGATTTTGGATGTTTTTTTTTTTTTTTTTAAATGTGTATATATATTAGTTAATTAGAAATATTTTACTTTCCTATTGTCAACTGAAATGCAGAGCAATTTTATGAGTGCATGGATCTGGGTCTTAGTTTTGGTTGATTAACTCAAGAGTTCATTGAATGTATGTATCTGATGTATCTGCTCGTTTTGACAGAGAACATCATGCACCAGGACCCAAGGCAGGGGCCTGGGCAGGGGGTATTAGCAGTTTGTGCTGAGAGATTATGGAAGAATAATATGTGGCCATGCTGTGCAACTCTCTAAATGGGCAATCTCAGGTAGAAGGTGACATTTTTCAGAAAAGTTCAAAGTAAATTGGAAATATAAATTGCAGCTGTAGGGTTTACCCCAACCACTGTCCTAGGACTGAGTTTTGCTGTGGATTTGAGACTCCCACCAGCTCTGTCTACAACATACTGGCAATTTCAGGGCGCAATGGAGGCTGTGGCCCAAAGCTGCACTCTTATCACAAACCTTTGTTTCACTTAACAAAGGAAATGCCAAAGCCAATGTGCAGACTCATTGGCTTGATCATTGGTTCCCCAAAGAGGAGATGTGTATGTGATCTGGTAATTATTATTGGTGTGAAGGTCATATTGGTAAAGGTTTCAAATAATCATTCTGGGTAGAATCCTGTGGTCATTGGCAGAACTCAGCTCAATCTTGGAAAAGTATTAGTCATTATCTTCGATGATAGAAAGGGAGGTGAGAATTCCAAGAACATTTTACTAGGAGCCACCGAATTAGCACCAAGGCAGATCCATTAAGAGCTTCCGTTTTCATTTGCATCTGTAAATGACAGAAGCACCTTTTCCCAAACCCACAATCTGTGTTTCTCACCAGACTCCAGGTAACTAGTTACCCGATTGTAACTCCACAGGTGTGGGCGCAGACGATCTGTCTTAGACGCACACTGTAGGTAACTCCCATGGAATAATGCACTGGCCATTCTGACCTGTCACCAGCAGATACATAGGACACAGACAAAATTCTTGTTTCCCCTAGTTCCTTCCCATAGCACTCCTCTCGTAGAGTCTAAATCTTTTACACAAGCTTTGAATACTGTGAAAATGTTTTACATTCCATTTCATTTGTGTTGTTTTTAACTGCATTTTACCAGATGTTTTGATGTTATCACTTATGTTAATAGTAATTCCCGTATGTGTTCATTTTATTTTCATGCTTTTCCTGCCATGTATCAATATTCACTTGACTAAAATCACTCAATAAATGATACTGCGAGTTGTGACTCCCCCCCCCCCCCCCCCGTGACACACCACTCACCCTCTTCCACTGCACACATACCCCCGCTCCTGATTTCTTTTTAGTGATGTTTTCTGGCCTCAGAGTAATAGCTTTCAAGGGGTAGCTGGGCATGGGTGGGCTGGAGAGGCCCTGGTGGCACCGCAGGCCACTCTCCTCCATCTCACATTTACCACCTGCTCCCACGAAGAACTTCCCGAAGTGTTTCTCCTGGCTGTGTGTGTTTCAGATCAGAAGGAAGGTTAAATATTTACTCTGCAAGAATGTGTTTTTCGACACTGCCTGAGTTTCGTTTTCTGGTTTTAGATGCTCTTGCCCCTCGGCCAATTCAATGTTAAAATGACTGCCTAAAATTTGAAAATTCTGCGGTATCTGGAATCTTAGATCCACATCAGCCTTAGAGAAGACGCTTTTAGTTTATAAATGGAGAAGCTAAGATGATACGTGGCTAGGATTTCCTAAAGAGCGTGGGGCTCCCAGGCCAATGGTGTTGCAGGAACTAGAACCCAGGGCTCCCATGTCCTAGTCTTGAGGGAATAATGTCTGACTTACCCCTGAACTTCCCTTTGGACCCAGAGTGGGGTCGTTGCCAGGCTCCTGGTGTTTCATATGAGGTTATATGCTCTTGCCTAAGGAGTTCAGTGGGACTTCTAATTCTGTGAGCAATTACAGTGACAGCTTCAGTTGATGTCATTCCCTGATTAACAAGGCACTTGCAAACCTCAGACAACTGGCAGTTTTGCCTAGAAGTGAACAAATACCTCATCACGCAAAACCACACGTGAGCACAGACACCATTTTCCAGGCATGGTATGGGGACTTGTAAAAATTCCATTGAAATTGTGCTCCAGCACAGAAGGATTTTCTCATCTAGTGTACCTGACTGGTTGGTGCACTAGTGAGGTGCTAACCCCACCTGAGAGAGTGTTGGCATTTCCTTTCCGTTCCCCTGTGGTTAATAAGAAGGAACACGTCTTTCAGGCTGGGTGCGGATGTCATTGTCACCCACTAAAGCCCCCACCACCACCACTACCCATGCTTTCCCATTGCTGTCTGAATTTTTTTTTTAACAAATCAAAAGAATGAAGTGTATACAAAGGTATTGGTATCTTGACTTCAGCTGCTGGAGTCACCCTGGAGTTTGGGGTGTCCTAGGATTAGGACTGCTTGGACCTCGAGTCTGGTCCCACCAAAATAGCAGCCTTGCAGTCAAGCTCTGTATGCCCACACCTCTTCAAGGAATTATACTGGTGCCCTCCTGCTCAGGAGCAGAAAGAGATGGAGGGTCAGTCACTATGTTATCCAACTCAGGCTGGACCTCTGATGCTATCTCCTCACAATGAATCCACAGAAGTGCCAGCATTTCACGTCTCCTTAGAAAGGGAAATCTGTAGCCGTCATCCAATAGTAATCAGAGGAAGTAGGGAGAGTCATTCTTAAATCTTAGTACGTATCACCAAGGGGAACTTGCTAACATGCAATTTCTGGCTTCCACACTCTAGACATTCGGGTTCAGGAGGTTTGCCATGGGACCCTGGACACTGAACTTAGAACTCACACTCTACATTGTCCAGGGGCCCGCCGTCCACTGGGTCTTACTTTGAAAAACATTCTAGTAGGACATAAGTGGTAGGGATAAGAGAAGGATTATTTTTTAGTATTTCCCTTTTCCCTACCCACCCACTTCATGCTGCTGCAGCCCTTTCTGAAGTTTCGTGAGCTATTCCTGGGCATCAGTGAATAGAGGTCAGTTAGATATACAAGGAAGGGACCGGTCCTAACTGCTTTATAGCTGGGTACATCTGGTTCTCCAAGGACTGCTTCTCAGAATGGAATATGCATGCGAAGGACCGGAGACCTGGTTAAGATGCAGATTCCCACCCGGTAGGTCTGAGGTGGGGCTGCAGTTCTGCATTTCTGATGGGCTCCGGCTGCGAGGAGAGGCTGAGCCTGCCCGTCAGCGGTGCACGGGGAGGAGTGAGGCCCCCCCGGGGCAAGCGAGAAGAGTTCCAGGGCTCAGGGGTGTCCTTGCTCCCTGTTGTAATAAAGGCGTCTCGGGGTCCCCACATAAGGCCCATCTCCTTGGGTCTCAAAATAACCATGCTTTGGGTTGAAAAGAAACCAGTCACAGAAACCCCAAACTGGGGCTTATCTTCTCAACCCACCCATAAGATTTCACTTTGGTCCATGGCCTTGAGGGTTGGTTCTTTTCCCTCAGACTCCATTTATTTTGGAAACTCACAGATCCCTTTGTTTTTTTCCTTCTTCAGCAAACTTTTAGAATCTGGTCTCTGCCCTTTACCCACCTGTCCTGGACCACCAGGGGTCGTCGGAGTTCAACAACTGGCGGTATTTACCTCGACCGCTCAAGTAATGTCAGACTTGGACAACAGAATCAGGACTTCGCATGTTCCATTTGTTCACATCTGGGCAGTTTCAAGCTCAGGTTATGGGAGAGGCCAAGACGAGAGGGGGTGGGGGACCGAAGTATTTGGAGGGGAAATCCCACTTCTTTGATAAATTGAGGACAACCTGCCAAGCAAGGCTGATTTACGGGGAACTAGGCGTTAGGAATTTCTGTCAGCGAAGACGGGAAGGCTGGGAGAAGATGGGCCCAGAACAAGCTCCAAATAGGAGCAGAAAGCTCCTGTGTCTTTATACATCTGTGGACTATTTAGATAAGAAGGGGCTGTACTTAATCATGGAGGGAGTGTTTGCTTAAATAAAGGGAGTTGCATGTGTGTGTTTAAGGAGAGAAAGAGGAGGTGGGAAGACGGAGAAAGGAGCCAGCCATTTTCCACAGCTGAAACCTACCACGTGGTTTTAATTAGGATGACCTTCCCATCACCTGAGCGCCAGAACTGGCGCGTGGGAGCCGGGTGAAGGATTTGGAATTCCCATGGTTCTGTCCTTGGGATTCAGCTGAGCTCTGCTGAGGGCATCCCTGAGCGCTTCCCTTCCCCAGAGCGCCTGCGTCCTGGGCTCCCCAACTGTGCACACCCAGAATTCTTGTTCCTTGGCTAGCCGGGCGGAGTCCTTGGCCAGGGCTTCTCCGAGATTCCATAGATGTCAAGACTTAGAGATAAAGCAATCAAAACCCAGAACTGCACATTAGATTTCCTATCAGAAAAGAAAAAAAAGGAAAAAAAAAAAAAAAGGAGACCCTGCTTAAATGATTTGTACATGATCCCATCTGTTTCACTTTTTACTAATTCTCATTAGAATCACCTGTCCCTGTTTGGACCTAGGAATGGATTGGGGCTGAGAGGTGGTTTGAGGGCCTCAGTTTCCATTTTTGCTGTCTAGTTCTCTGGAGAGTTTATGCAGATCTGGGTAATTTTACCTCTTTGCCTAGAAGATTAAGCCCACAATCTGAAAGAATAAAAGCACAACAGGCCCAAACTCAAGTGCCTGTTTCACAATGTGGCCCAGGGATAGCCAGGGTGGGTTCCACTGAATTAACTGGATTCCTCTGGGGTCAGCACTGCCTCCCAAGGCTGCCAGCTGAGGCCACCAAGAATCTAAATTTGGCTGCTGGTCTTGGCCAGTGACTCAGTGACTTCTAGCAGCAGTATATCCCTCCAGCATGGCAAATCAAGTCCTGACCTGGGCCAGTCCTGGGCAAGGCCCCGGCCCCTGCAGCGGCGGCAGAGGAGAGAGGGAAGAGGCAGCCTGTGGTTGGCTAGAGAAAAAATAAGCACCA